CCTGTTGGTTTGGGAGTGAGTGGGTTTGTTCCAGATTCGTGTGCATGAGCTTTACTTATAGCCCACTACCTTATGAAGGCTTTTTTCACAACAGTCTGGTTTTGTACTTGGTGATATGATATGCTCTACAGACATAGTACCGGTTCCCCTTTTGGTCACACCCTCTCCTGGTAATTCGTTAAATATTTGTGCACTGCCTTTATGTATATTGGTCCTCATCCCCTCCTGCCCCCACCAAAAAAAAAGCTTACTTTTTTTCATAAAAAATTCACTCAAGAGACACCCTTTATGCCTCTGCAAAGCAAGCACTCCAAGATACTTAGCTGGGCTGTTCCAAGGTAGGATTAGCAATATAATGGGTTTACATTGTGATTTATTTTTTTTTTTAAATATGAGGTGATTACAATCATGGAATAAATTGACTCCTCTTTTACTCCCATATCATGGATTGATTTCCTTTCAAGGTATTTATTTCCACAGTCCTTCAAAAAAAAAAAAAACTCACTAAATGGGAGGGATATTCTAATAGAGTCAAAGCATTTGTACACATGTTAATGAACGGTTATGGGAAAATGTCCTGATAGTTTTTGGTACAGTGGGGAAAACCTATCTACAGCCTCAAGGACGTTAAACCCCAATGGTGCATTGCAAAGGTAAGAGGACAGAGCCACCAAAATACAGTTTTCTAGGTTACCATGCATGTAACTAGCTCTGAGACAGCTCAAGGCTCCGTGATTGATATTATGACAGATTGTTCGTCAAAATATTTTTGTTATTTTTACAGCAGAAGTTTTGAGGCTGTAGAGATGGCACAGTGGTTAAAAATATTTGCTGTAACCACCTGCAACTTCAACTTCAAGGACCTGATGCTTCTGGCTTCCACTGGTGTGTATGCCCATATGCATACAGATAATTGAAAACATAATCTTAAAAACAGTGGGAGAGGCTGGAGATATGGCTCAGTTATCAAGACACTCATTCTTCCAGAGGATACAGATTCTATTCTCAGCATTCAAGTGGCAGCTCATAGCCATCTGACTTTCCATTGTTAGCCATCATGGAAGCATGATGCTTCCCAACTGCTCTGGGATTTCATGTCAGAATAACAAATACCCACCTTCATGAAAACAAACAACAAATTCTGATACTGAAGTAGGTAAAGAAGAAACCAAATTTACTGATGATACGCCTATAAATTAATGTGACCAGGATAGAAACCATTGTGGAACCTTCACAAAGTCTAGAAGTACCATATGCTCCATCTTTTTAAATCTTGGTTATAGACCCAAAGTATCTAACCCAGCATACCATGGACACACTTGCACACACATTTATGTTACTACCCTCACAATAGCTCAAAAGAAAAATTAATATGAAATCCACAAAACTATAAGTGGATAAAGAAAATGTAGTAGATATACACATCACAATTTTATTCAGTTTAAAAGAAGTTTCAAATCATGACAGTATATATATTGAAATAAACTGAGTATCAATGTATTAAGTGACATAAAGCATACCAAGATAGATATCACATTTTCTAGATTACATATATGTGCATATATATGATGGGGGAATGTTCTTCTCTATTTATGTTTCTCTTATTGGTTGATGAATAAAACACTGACTGGCCAGTAGAGGCAGGAAAATAGGCGGGGCTAGGAGATGAGGAGAATGCTGAGGCGAGAGGAGAGAGAGGTCTTGAAGAGATGCCATGTAGAGACTGGGAAAATAGGATGTGCCAGGTGTTCTCTGGTAAGATAAGGCCATGTAGAAATACATAGATTTAGTAGTTGTGGGTTAATAATTAAGAGAAAGCTAGCCAGTAAGACCGTATGCTTATTTGGGGCTGAAGGGCATCGGGACCTGGCAGGACAGAAACCACTATCTTCATATCTATACATGTATATATATATGTATTTGTGTATATGTAGGACATCAAAGAAGAAAGAAAACTGCAATGGTTGAAGAGGTCTAATATAAGATGAGAAGAAAAATGAGTGTGTAACAGAATGGAACTGTCATGAAACCCCACCTTCATGACAGAGTGAGAGTTACTTTGTAGGAAGGTGGGAGCTAGAAAGAAGGAGGGATGGAAGAGATGGAAGTAAGGTGGGGACAATAAGAAAATTATAAAGAAATATGCATGTAGATGTCACAATGAATCTCAAAATATTGCTATTAAAAAGATAACAGTAAACAATTGTGCAATATATATTTTAAATTATTTCAATGTATGGAAATAATGTCATAATTTGATGAATAATGATATTTAATGTTATAATCAGGGTAGTCAGCATTTTCCTAAAAAACATTTTAAAATGCGGTGGACAAATACCTCTGTTAGTGAGAAATGAATATTCTTTTATTGTCTACTTAAAAATTTTAATCTCATTTTTACTCATTATTCACAGAATAAAGGTGTTTAAGAGATTAAATTGAAATTATTCAACTAATTTTGCAAGTTGACATAGCACGGAATTTGTTTAATGGCATATACATTTAATCAGCAAAACGGCAATAAAATTATGTTATGCTTAGTTTCAAATATAATTCTCTTTCAGTCAGGATTTAAGGAAGGAATTAAGTTATCTCCGTCTTCAGAGGGTGAGACATTGAAAAATAATTGCCAATAACAAGTGATTGTGTCAAAACAAACAGCATGTCTATTAAAGTGAGCTTGAAGCCAGTAACACAAAAGTCCACAGAAAAGAAAGACAACCTGATAGACATGCTCAATATTAGGAGACAGAATCACTGGTATAAAAATGATAAAAACTGATAAAACAATAGTTCCAAATACAAATGGCAGCCACACCTGAAAAAAGACAGAAAATTAAGATTGTTGATGACGTGGTAAATTTGTATTACAAAAGAACATTATAGATGTTACACAACCAAAAGAAAGTGAGTTCATAAATATCTTCAAATGTTTAGAGTAGGCAGTCCTGGTGTTAGCTTGTAGAAAATAAATTTGTAATAGATTACATATCACAAGAGTGTCCCTGTGAACTTGCTTATTTACCTGACGTGTCCATGAATTTTTCCTCTGTTTATCACACTGAGACATCATTCACCAAAGCCAGCGACTTACTTTCAAACACTAGAGAAAAGGGTCCCTTACAGACACCATTGCCATAAATGAAAACAGCAGTGTCATTCTACTATTAGCCATTACAGTGATCTTTTCCTGAATTAGGAAAACTACTTATTTATTTACTCACAGCCAAACTCGCCCTCTTCCCTTTTCTCTTTTGTTTCTTTATATTATTATTTGTTTAGTTGGCATAATATAGTGACATGTTTACAGGTATAATGAGTGTTTATTCCTGAAATTTTCATGCATGTACATAAATCTGTTTTGTTTTTATTCTATACACCATTCCCTTTTCACTTTTGCTCATCTCTTTTCTTCTCAAAATTGTTTTCACTCAGCCTTTCTGATATATGTTTGATTTTTGATTTCTTGTTCTCCTAAATTTCTGCCTTTTATGTATCACCATTCCTTCTGATGTTACTAATATGTTTATATCCTATCGTCTGACCTTAAGTCTAGTTCTGTATAATATTACATTAACTGATTTAAATATGTTCAATTATCCGTTCATTCCCTTATTAAGCCAAAAATCCCCTGTTGTATCTGATCCTCTTTATGTGTTCTCAAATTAAGATGAAATATTTTGCGTGTATTCTGGTGTGTATTCACCAGAAAAAAGTTTCTATAGTTTATTTTTGTTGGGTTCTTATACAGTTTTTTTTTTTTTAAATTAGGGTAATGCTAGTTCTGTAGAAAATTTTTGTAAGCATCCTTTCCATTTTATTTTTAAGGAAAAATTTGAGAATCATTTTTGTCAGCTCTTAATGGTTGGTGGAATTCAGCAACTCCTTAAAACTGTTCTGTCCAATATGATTATCTTCATATATGTATATTTTTTAGGAAGTATTTACTGTATTAGTTCTCTCTCAGATGCCTCCTACTTTTTAGGTGTGGTACCCTACTCCTTTCTATTGTTATTTCACTATGATCTAATCAGAGACAATAAATTATTGTTGTGTTTTTGGTTTTATGTTTATTTTTCCCTAAATTCATGCACTTTTGAGAGAAATTTATAATCAATGGATAATCTGAAGATACCTGTTAAGTCCATTTGTTGTACAGTATAATTTATCTCTGAAGTTTCTTTATTAATTTTTGGTTTGGATGAACTAACTAAACACCAGAGTGCTGTATGGAAGTCAGTCACTATTATCGAAGCAGGACTTAACTAACATTTTGTGCCCATTAGTGTTTAGCATTTTATAAATGAAATTTGGAATTCCATTCATTTACTGAATGTTTGCTATACATATATATTCCTGATGAATTGTTCATCTTATTTGCATGTGGTATTTTACTTATCATTTTGTCAAATTTTGAAGCCCTGTGTCAGTGTCTGAGTAGGTACATCTGTTGGTTTTCAACCTTTCTTTTCTTGATAAATTCTCTTGCATTCTTTGTTTATCAGTCCATGATCCATTTTGCCAATGAGGTCTGTTTCCTAATGATTCCAGAGAGTTAGGTATTAATTCTTATCGATTCAGCTGGTAGTGTTTGTCATTCTATGGGTGATTTGAGTCAATTTGCACCTGATTTTGCCATTGGGAATGGTTTAAAACTCCTATAATTTTGGTTTATTTTTCTGGTTGTCTGGATTATTGTGCTTTTTTCTATGTTCTCTATTTGTGTGAGGAGGTTGCTTTTTGGTAATGATGTATTCCTTTCTATTTCTCCTTTACTCACCTATCCCTCTCAAGAAGTTTATTCTTTGAGGTGGTCTCATGATAGGGGTTTTCTTTATTTATCTTTGGCATATAGTAGTCCCTTAAGTACATTCTGCACATATGATTTGAATACCATGAGCTTTACAGTATCTACTTGTTTTGAAATGTCTTTATTTCCCTATTAGTTTTAAAAGATAGTTTTGGTGGATGTAGCAATCTTGGTTAGCTGTCATTTATTTTGAAACAAACTTGTTTTGTTTTTATCTCCCTCATTGTTTTTGTATAATCTTCTTTGCCTTATGCCCTCTGCCCCCACCCCAAATAGCTTTCTTTCTACTTTCAAGAGATATTTACATTCAGGATTTGAAATATAACATACTATGATTCCATAGCTTTTCATATTGCTGATGAGTGAACTGATGTGATTTTGATGTTTTGGATTTAAAAAATTCAGTATTTTATAATATATTATAAACATGTGAGGTTCATTTTATTGCTATCTGTCATTGTTGATATTCTACACCTCTTCATTCTCTCTAAGAAGTATATTTCTGATGCTTACCCCTCCCTAATACAACTTACCTATTTGGAAATTTTGGAAGTTTCTTAGTGGAAAACCTTAACTGTAACACAAGTTCATGGTATGGAATCTATAATTATAAAGCAGAATATGTTGATGATTTCATGATTTTGGTGTCATTTTGTGGGAGAGGTTGGGAAAATATGCCAATTTATCAGCTGCTACAAATGCCTTCATGATTATTGGACTTGCAAATTACATGTATTACCACTACTAAATTATCTTGGGCTTTATAATGAAAGATGCCATTGGAGCTTTAATATAATGTGCCAAATTAATTAGTGGCAAGAGGACAGAATCTTTATATGTGTAGTCAGGTTTTCAGGATCACATTCCTTCTAAGCAGTACTTTTGAGTTGAGGAACCACTGGACTCTGGCCTTATTTGAAAAGCTTCTCTTTCCAAATCAACCTTAGAACTAGATTTGCTGCAACCTAATGGCTGGAATTTACCATCATATAGAAAGTCACTTCTTTTGAAATAGAGTCCATCCAATGCAAATTAGACCCCCAGCTTTTGCTGATTTCAAAATAAACTCAGAGACCTCCCACAAGTTATTAGTAAATTTGTAATCCTCTTATAACATATCAGGATTTCACCAAGGATGGATTCGATTGTTTTCACTATAATGCTTGTTTTCTGTTCACTTTTCCTACTCATATGTAAAAGAACTTGAAATGGTTTCTCTTAGTGGTAATAGAGCAAACATTCCATTACCCAAATACCTACTTTTCATGTTGCAGAAAGTCTTTCACCAGGGATTAGTCATTGAATATACTGGAGAGCTAGCTTATTTTTACATTCAATTTCTGCGTCAAGGGCAACTTCTATTTTATGTCTCTTAAAGAGGTACTATCTTAGTTCCTGTTGTATTTGTTGTCCTATAGCCATGTTTCTAAGTCTAGTTCTTTGTCATTTTGGAAATGATTGTTCCGGAATGTATTTTCATATCAAATGGACATGTTTAGCTTCTGTGTCTTTACAAATTGTTTTTCAGTTTTATACAATATGCCATTATACAGGATATTCAGAGATTTCTTCAGTAGGAATGTTTTCTATTTATCCATTTGATAATGTTTGATATCAAATAGGCCTTAAATATAGGTATGAAGATTGCTTTATTTAATATCTGCTGCTGCTGAGTATTTGCATTGTGCTACAAAAATACCCAGTCATTCTTTGATGTTTCTCAATTAATAAAGATTAATAATATTTCCAGTATGGACACTCATCACACCAAAATACTATTTGCCATGTACTTTAACAAATGTTCAGGAAAGATAGTGAATATAAATAAACATGAAACTGATAACTTAATTGATATGTTCATTACATTTTTCATTATCAAAATATCTAATATGATTCTAATAAAGTAAGTGTATGAGGCTCAAATATACTAGAATGTACTCAACAAATGAAATTTCTTCATTGACTGATGTGCATATACTTTCTTGAATATACTAAAGCTCTCAAAATATATTTATCCAAGTATCTCTGAATTACATATATCTGGGATACATAATGTATTGAAGATATTATTCACTTTTTGACATGGGATTCACTTGAAAAGGAAGCAATTACAAGAAAGTAGAATATGAAATATGATATTAAATGAGAGTTCTCAAAATACAGCCAGTGGTTCACTATTATAAGGAGCCCAAGATGAATAATATTCCTGTGATCCAATAGAGTTTGAATGAATCAAAATCCATACTAAAAAATATGCGAATCTGGAATTTATGAACAATACTCATGTACTTATTATAGTCACTGTCATAAAATAGGGAATTGTTTTCATCATTTTGTATCATCTCAGCAATCATGAACAGCTTAAATATTTATGACATTCATAGGATTATTGAGAAGGAAAACAAATATCATGGAACATTCCTGGATTCATGTTATGTAAACATGTAACTTATACATCAGAAAGATAATGTAAAAGAAAATTATCCAAGAAAAGTCTTTACTTTAAATCCTTAAAAATAAAATTTCAAATAAGGGGTTAAGCAAAAAAGAAAGCTACTTTTACCATGTGAAATTATGAGGTGAGCTGGCTCATTTGAGTATGGAAAGTATATTTTTCTCTTCAGTAGTACTGTTTGGTCCCTGGAAGATAATGATTATATCTTCTTTCCCTGCAGTATATTAGTTTTCACCCTTCACACAATAAAATTGTAGCCTCAAATGGCTCATATTACAAAAGTTTAGTTGGAAGACATAGGGTCACTGCTTAATATAATGGGTTTATAACTTGATTAGAAGAATATCATGCCTACTTAGAAAGGTTTAACAACAAACAGGTTATATATTAAACATTAGTATTTAGATATTGACTTACCTTATAAGGTCTTGGTAGATTGGGCTTCTGGTACCTCATTTTAAGCAACCCAATCATATTCAGAAAATTTATACACCATGCTCCTAGTCCCACATATTTCATTAAGTAGATTAATTTTGAAATTATTATTGCAATAGAAGATAAGATGATAATGAGGATGGCTCCTACAACTGGATTGTGATGGTCATTAAGCATTGAGTAGATGAAAGGTAATTGTCCATCTTGACTTGCAGCGTAAATTATTCTTGATCCTGAAAGCAATCCACTAGAAAGGCAATTCATCATTGCTGCTGAGATCCCCAAAGAAGTAGCCCATTGTATGAAAGGGAAGACTCTGTACATCCATGTGACAGCAACAGAATCTACAAAAATTAAATGAAAATTCCAAAAGCCAAAGTCACTTTTGCTTGAAAGTAAATAGAACAGTGCTCTGCAATTGTTCCTGTATCCTTACATATTGTAATAGGACTTAGCAATTCTTTCTATGAGGAGTCTCTTACTGTTTGAGTCTGTTGTGCCTTTTGACTTGTTTTTACCAGTACAGTATATTAGGAGTGGATGTTTGAGAGCTGCAAGGCTGCTCAGTGGTAGCAATAATAGTTTTTGTCCTCTTGATTGTAAAGCTGTCTATCTCATGTATTTACCACTCCTAACATGTTTGTGAGCTAATAAGACAGAAAAAAAGCCATACTAGCTGTGGATCCCTGGCACTGCATAATACATAGCTCCCAGTAAAAATGGCCTAAAACTCAGCTATTATGGTGTAAAATAAGTTTTGAAATTTGTATGATGTGACACCTTCCTCATATCCTCCCTTTAATGCCCATGTGTTGCGGATATGCTTGGAACCACTCCTGTCAATGTCATTTGTGACATTACCAAACCTTGGTTATAGTACTATGTCATTTTATAACATTCATATAAGACTGAAAATATCCTAAAGAAAGACTATGTGTGCCCTTACCTTTTTTCATACCATTTAAAATTAATGCTGCCTGTGCCTAGAATTGACATATATCCTGTAAATCCATGTGGAGGAAAGGAAAGTTGAAGCTCTGGTTCCACCCAGAATAAACATCTGTCTTCAAAGAAAAGTTTTCACATTTTTAACAAATTGTCAGACTATACAGAGTGAGCCAGACAATAATGAATGAGTGATAGAGTGGCTACATTTATTCCTAGTGATATTGTGATGGCTATATTTAGAAAATTGCTGCTCACATTTACAAATAACTATCAATATCCTAGATAATAACAGAATGTTTAATGGGCAAAGTGTGGCTGGGAACTAGTTGTGACTCACTTTTTGATCCATTTATGATGGATGCAAGTGACAGCCTTAATGAAAATGTTGGCACTGTGTTTCACATCTAAGAAAGTAAGGAAATGTTGCCTATTTTGAACGTTGTCTTTTGTTGTAAAGATAAAAATGTATCTTGAAGGATGAAGCATTTAAATACAGTACTTATTCTTTGTGTTCTTGTCATATTGCTCAGGTTCCTTGTCATTTTTTCTTTATTCTTTTCCTCCTCTTATTTATATTCTTTTATTTTAGATTCTGTGGTATATGGACTTCTGGATATATAATTTAGTTCTTAATATGTAATCAATTATCTTATAATTTAAGTTTAGTTCATAATGTTTTCTTTAGATTCATTGAAAATCCCCAAACATAAACATATTATTTTTATATCTCTTCACATATACTAAACATATCTGTAGCGTATAAAACTTGCCATCTTTTATTTCTGAGATTCTACCATAATAAAATTTACTTCACATACCTGAAGAGATGATTTCCTGGGGTGTCAAAACTGCCACGTATGATATATTTGTCAGTAAGTAAAAAACCATCACAATGGACAGGCCCGATATTAAAGATTTTGGAATTGTATTAGTAGGATTTTTTATTTCTCCTAAGAAAAATAAATAAATACATTAGAAAAGTACACATCAACCAAAATAACTTGCCAAAGTCCGATGTCATGGAGACAATCACATTAGGTCTTTCATAAATTAATTCTTCCTGTCACTAGAGATTATATTTTGGGTTCTTTTCACTGAGATAGAAGTTTTGATGGCTTAGGTATTCAACAGATGTCTTCATGTATTCAGTAAGCCTACCGAATGTAAAGTAGTGCTTTTTTTGTCTTCAAGGTTTCCTGAACACAGAACTCTAGACATATGTACTCTTTTTAAGTACATACTGTAGAAAAAAAGTGTCATTAGAAAAGGTGAAGGACAAAAATTTTTCATTCATAATCACCAATCTTTTTGTGCAGTAACCTAATTCAACAAATGTGGCATTATATGTTCTGTGGTCTGTAATATCCATTCCTGTAAGTGGAATGTTCCCAAATCTCAGGGTCTCAAACATTGGTTCATCTCCATATTTAGGGCCAAAAACCTGAAAGTGGATATCATGGGAAATTGCCAAGAATAAGTTTTTGATCATGCAATGCCAAATGTTATTTCAAAATAAAACTTGCAACAAACATGGAGTATTTCTTTCAGTGTGCACCTCACTACAGCCCTGTATCAGAAGTCATAGCATGTGCACATTGCACAGTGCATGGCTGTCGCACTGTAGAGATCAACAAATACTATGCATACTTCCTCGATTTTTATCTGAGAATTTACATACTATAAATTTCCACTGTATACAAATGGTTTCTCATAATAAAGAAATTTCAGTTATGGCAAGGAATCATTCTAATGTTTTCCTACCATAATTCTTAGGCAGATATTTGCCAGATGGGTATGTCATTGAGCTGCATTGTATTAGAATGTTTGATTTCTTAATATTGTTGATTGATTCTGACTGGATTTTCATAAAATTTGGAACAACTCCAACCACGTTTGATATTCTAATACAGCAGGAGATATTACTGAGCATCATAATCCAAAAAGAGGTGAGATAGATAGAATTAGTCTTCCCAATGGATGAACACTCTAATTAGAAAAGTTAGCTATAGAAACCTATATATGCAGGCAACACTGAATGAGTATAGCAGGTTGTATTTATATGTTTGGTTAGGTGTGTACGTGACAACAATTGTTAAAGAAAATGAGGCTGTCAATTGTGCAGACATGGGAAGGTGGCAAGGAAGAGATGGAGGAGAAAACTACATATTTATATGTAACAAAATTAATATTAACTGTTAAATGAAATTGGCTTGAGACTAATACCAATTTCTAATAATATCCAAACTGTCTCTTCTTGAGTTACTTTCTACTGCTGTGACAAAGCACCATGACCAAGGAAATTTATAAAAAGAAGGATGTATTTGGGCTTACAGTTCCTGAGGGATGAGAGTCCATCATGCTGAAAAGTCTTGAAGCCATGGGGGCAGTAGTACAAAGCTGAGAACTAACACCTTTTAAAAGAAGCAGGAAATATAGATAGAATGCAGAAAGTAGGGTGTGAACAGGTACATTAAAAAACCTACTCTAATGATAAACTTCCTCCAGTAAGTCTCTGTTTTAAGGTTCTACCCTCTCTTCAAACAGCACCACCAACTGAGGAACAAGTGTTCCAGTACTTTCAGCTTGTGAAGGATATTCTCATTCAAATCACCACAGAACTTAAATATTTCTGACAATTTTACTAGATACTTATATGAAAAGGTGTTTTTAGCATTAAGACATACAAAATCAAAATGTCAAATAACTAGAAACTGTTATTTGTTATATACAATATTTAGTCTATATACAATAAATAGTCTATATACAATATTGCCAACTATTTAGCAGAGATTTTATTCTTTAGGTGAAAAGCATAAGCACATATCTGTCCCATTAGGATGTAATTTTTCACTTCTATTTGTTCCCCCAAATTTAAAATTTTGATGATTTATTATCATTAAAGGTTTTATTTATTTATTAAACGTGTGTGTGTGTGTGTGTGTGTGTGTGTGTGTGTGTGTGTGTGTGTGATGAGGAAAAAAAACGTGATGAGGGTCAAGAAAACTTGGGGACTGGGGAGTAGCCATGAAAGAAAACATATAAGAATATAAGAAGTCCTGTGTTGCATGGGGCATTACCACGTACTTCTATTTCTCCTTCTACTCCATATACTGATCTGTTATCAAGTGAGGCAAACTTGGAAATAAAATGAATGGTATGTACCTGGCGGTGATTACAAGAAAAGAGAGCTTTCTGACTCAATATGGAGAAGCTGGTCATACTAGAAGGCAATAATCACATCTATGACTTGGCAGGTATTCCAGTAGAGCAGTTGGTCAGTTTTCACATGCAAGTTGATTAATAACTGCTTCACTATATTTGCTAGTATCTAGTGTTTAACTTCATGAAATAGTATTTATTTCTGAAGAAAGTTGTCAGCACTAAAAGACATTTCCATGAAATTAAAAAGTTCATCTTTAAGTGAAGACTATAAACTCTTCACATCGAATAAGTAAGTTTTAGGGAATTGTAAAGAAAGTAACTTAGAGAGTTAGAAGTCAAATTATCGCATATTGTAAAAAAGTGGAACCCTAAAAATTCTAAGAACAAAGTACAGACACTGTTGTCTTGAGTTGGGAATTTGTTTCTTTAATTACAAGAAAAAAATGAATGCCACATATTAAAAGGTTTTAATAGGTGAATTTGTGTTACGATAAATCTTTCCACCAAAAGCCGCCGAGCCCCACTGCCACGTGTACACTTTATGCCAGCTGCCCTCCTGAGTTAGGGCCCAAATTAATACACAGAGAGACTTGTATTAGGTACAATGCTGCTTGGCCAATGACTAGGACTCCTCATCTGCTAGCTCAGTCTTAACTATCATAAATCTATATATTTTATAAGACTTATCGAAAGCCTTACTGGCATTCCTCGTTGCCGGTGGATCACATCGTGCCACTGGAGCAGGAGCGGAGGGGAAAAGAGAGACACTTCCTGTTTCTCCTTTGCTTAAATATGAGTCTCCTAGCTTTGCCACTTCCTGCCTGGATCACCATTTCTCTACTACATTTCCCAGAATCCTCTTTGACTCCTACTCCTGCCTAACTTGCTGTCTCATTGGCCAAAACAGTATTTTATTTAACAATCAATAAGATAAATATACACAGAAGTACATTCCCATCAAATTTGTTTAAATTTCTTCATTAAAAACTTTGCATAAACATGCCAATGGCAACAGGACCACAACAGAACCCTGGTACTTGAGCTACCTTGTTGGAGCACATTCCCTATAGTTTGTTGCTGTGCTCAGTCTCAATGCATTAAAGAGAGGCTTGGCCCTGCCCGAACAAATTGTGCCAGAATTTTCTGACTCCTCATGGGAGTCCTTACTCATCAGGAGGAGTGGACTGGGGGTGAGCTTGGAGGAAGGGGACAGGAAGAGGGGAGAATTGTGGTTGAAAAGTAAAATGAAATTTTAAAGAATAAATACATTTTGAAAAAAACTTGTATCAAATTATGAGGCAAATCATGAGAAAAAATATTCACATTGTGAAAAGAAAGGCCACATCTTATTACATTTATATATCTTGAAAATTTATATGGGACTTTCTACCTGGGAAGTTGCTTGCCACCCTAGCCTGGGATGAGGCAATTTTCACTGTTCTTCCTTTCCCCCATTCTCATCTCTGAGCCTGTAGCATAGCACTTAAATAAGCCAGTCTTCCCTCTGTGACTTCACTCCCTGGGGATACCTCTAAACATCATGGCAGGCTCAGATTTCCTTCCTGTGAACATTTTCATCCTCCAACTTCTAAACCATTCCCATTCCTTTACACTATCCCCACATTCCAGCCAGGAACACCAGGCAGGGCTCAGAAGCAATCCATAGCCACCAACAAAGATAGAAACAAGAGTAGAAACACCTGCTTAAGAAAGACAATACAACATATCAACACTAACCATCATAATCATACACAAATCCAGAGGCCAAGATACTAGCACAAAAAAGAACCTTAATATCAAAGACAACATTGCTCCACCAGAACCCAGAAATCTTACTAGAGTAGTCACAGAAAATTCAATATACCTAAAACATAAAACAAAGGCTTCAAATAAGTTATTATGAATATGTTCAAAGACCACAAAAAGTATATGGAAACAAGTTTTGAGAACTTAAAAGAGAGCTCATCAGAAAGGGGAGCATAAACCAGTAAAGATTTGGTCTTTACATAATTTAATCTCTAATGCTCTGGAACCCAGTGCATAGTAAATTGTCATAGAAGGTTCACTCAGATATGGATTAGCGAAATAAAAAGGAATCCATTCTGGTAGAAATTGTTAGCAGAGGAGAATGTCTACTCACATGAAGATATAAATATTGTTTCAGAGGAAAAAGGAAGTGAAGAAGGTCAATACACTGGATCTGAATCTCCTTTTTTTAGATGAAACAGATTTAAAAATGAGAAAGATTGAATTTCTAGCACCACATTTTCAGGAATTAAAGACATACATGAAAATAACTCCCAAGACAAAGAATAAGAGAATAAAAAGAAAATGTTCCCAGTAAAAAAGGTGTAAGGATTTCTGCTTGCTGCCTTTGGGATTTCCTGGCCTAGACACTGTGGCAGGTTGACTTGCCCCAGGTTTATCAAGCCATGCAGAGTCTGATGACATCATGGTTCTAGTCCCACCTTCAACCACTGGTAAATGGGGTGTCTCAGACATACCTGCATCCATTCTGAGACCCATCAGAGTATTGGATGTGCTTGCACCCACCAGAAGAGAACCTTGCAACCATACACAGCAGGAGAGGAAGATACCCCATCTGCACCCACTGGAAGAAGGGATGGGAAGATGACAATATATATAAGAAGACATTCAACAACAGAAAAACTAATATGATGCCACCAGAGTCTAGGGACTCTACACCAGCAAGACCTGAGCATACCAATACAGATGAAGCAGAAGAGAATGACCTTAAAAACAACTTCATGAAGATGATAGAACCGTA